CTTACCGGTCATCTTTAAAAAAAAAAAAAAAAAAAAAATATATATATATATATATATATATATGTAAATAAAAAACAATGACGCATCTATTGTCATTTATCCCAGTGGCCAAGCAAAAGTAATTGAGAAACACTGGTAGGAATGGGAAAACTGCTTAAACTGCTGATGTGACATACTTGTGCTGATGTAACTGTAAATGAGCTGTTTAGCAGTTTATTAATATTCAAATTTTCGGGGGAAATACTTTGTCAGCAGTTTAAGTCCTGGGCGTTTATCCTATAGAAATAAGTTTGTACAGTTATGCAGGCTTGTCTGTAATACCCTTAATTGGAGACAATTCCACTATCCCTCTATGTGCTTCTTTAAATACCGTATTGAACTTCCAGTACAGAAATGCGGGAGAGGATGATTTAGTATGATAAGGGAAGTTATCACTGGGGAGATGGGTCACATTTCCCCCCCAGAAGAGTTTCTTTGTATTACCTTAGACACTAAAATACATACATTCAAAACTATAGAAAAGTTGTAAGAATATAGAAAAAAATTCATTTGTTCTTCACCTCGAACCAACTGCTGATATTTGCCTCTTTGGCTCTCTTTCTGTATATACTCATAAAATGCTGGGGGCGGGGGTTGGTGGGGTGGAGAAAGGGGGGCGCCAAACTACTTGAGTAAATTGCAGATACATATAACAATTCGTTCTACATACTTCAGCATGTTTCTCTTGAGAAAGAGGGAGGACCTTCTCTTGTAATACACTTATCCCACTCTAGAAGGTTATAAACATTAATAAAATATTACTTTGCAATATAATTCATATTAAAATTTCCTCCGTTGCCCTGAAGTGTTCTCTTTTCTCTTTGATTCAGGGTGTCTTCCAAGTCTCTATTGTAAAGGAAAGTGTTCTCCTTTGTTATTCATAATCTGTGGGCCAGGACTTCCAGACCTTGTTGACTACCCGTTTCCTCAATAACCTTCATCTGGTTATTTTAGCCAGATGATTTTCTAAATTGATTACACTGGTGGCTGCAAAATAATCCAAGTTTTGGATTGAATGTGGATGTCTGTCTTAAGAAGCCTTTATAATAGCCAGCTGAGGATGTATTAGATGTTACCAGGACTGGGCTTCAGAGAAGCCAGCTTCATTTCCATCTGTAAAGCCACAAAACATTGAAATCACACCCTCATCGAATGAATCCAGTGCATCGCTTCAAACAATGGTGTTTTTTTTTTTGTTTTTTTTTTTTTAAAGATGACCGGTAAGGGGATCTTAACCCTTGACTTGGTGTTGTCAGCACCACGCTCAGCAAGTGAGCGAACCGGCCATCCCTATATGGGATTCGAACCTGTGGCCTTGGTGTTATCAGCACCGCACTCTACCGAGTGAGCCACAGGACGGCCCCAAACAATGGTTTTAAACGAGTAAACCAAGTTCATTTAGAGGCGAGAAGCCTGGACCAGTTTGGGCTGAATGGCCAGGCAGGGTACACGTGAGCTTTAAAATCCGGGTCGGTTCAAAAGCTCCAGACCCAGGGGCTTCGAGGAACACGAACCACGGGAACACTTTAGGGCCCCCATCTCGTCCCTTCAAGTAAGGTGATAACTTCCCTTTTTTTTTTTTTAAAGATGACTGGTAAGGGGATCTTAACCCTTGACTTGGTGTTGTCAGCACCACGCTCTCCCAAGTGAGCTAACCGGCCATCCCTATGCAGGGATCCGAACCTGTGGCCTTGGTGTTATAAGCACCACACTCCCAAGTGAGCCACAGGCCGGCCCAAGATGATAAGTTTCCGAATGTCGTTTCCTTTTTGTTAAAGGGCAGAAATTACTCCCGAGTTCCCGGAAGTTGTCTGGTTCGCTTGCAAAGTGGGCCGAGGAGAGAAGGACCCTCCTTTGGAACGTGCGAAGGAGGTACTCGATCCGGCAGCTCCTGGATAGTCTTCGCACCCTCAAACCTAGATTCCCGCTTTCTGGGGTTCAGGAACAACCAGTTGTTTCCTAGGGCGAGTCGACAGCGCCCTCCTCCCGCCCCAAGCCCATGGGATTCTGGTGCGGAAGAAAAGAACCAATGCAGGTGGAAACCCTAGTAAACTTGGAGCCAGCTGGGCCTGGGGGAAGAGTCCCCCGAGCTTCCGTGAAACCGTGGAAATAGTAACCCGCGGGACCAAAAGCGCGGGCAGGGCGGGTGGAGGGCTGTGAGCCTGGGATTGGGCGCAGTGCCGTGGGCGGGGCCGCGCCGTGGGAGGGGCCGCGCCGTGGGCGGGACTGTCCCGGCGCTAGACTTTCTGCGCCGCGCCTCAGGGCGGCGCGATTAGGCCTTGCTTCCCTCGGAGAGTGGTTGGTTTCCAGGAACTCGAGATGGGAACACTTTCGGCACGGAAGGATATCCCCCCGTGGGTGAAGGTTCCTGAAGACCTGAAAGATCCAGAGGTGTGCCAGGTCCAGACTCGGCTGCTGGAAGCCATATTTGGTGAGTGTGTCCGGTCCAGGCCCTGGTACCCGGTCCCAGGCTCCTGGGTCTCCGCGTCCCGGAGCACTCATCTGCTTCCCCCAACAGGCCCAGGCGGAGCTCGAATCCCTTACATCGAGCAAGTGAGCAAGGTCATGCTCGAGCTGAAGGTTCTGGAGTCTTCGGACCTCACCGAGGTCGTGGTTTATGGCTCCTACTTGTACAAGCTCCGGACCAAATGGATGCTCCAGTCCATGGCTGAGTGGCACCGCCAGCGTCAGGAGCGAGGTGAGAGACCCGGTGACGAGGGGCTCCGAAAGGCTTCACTCCTTCTTCTCCAGCCCAGTTCTTATCGCCTCCTTGATGCCTACAACCGCCACCCACACCTGGACGTCATCAGTGGCGCCCTTGGCGTCTGCTCTGTCCTCGAGACTACTTTGGGAGTCGGGGGCCCCAGAGCGCCGGCCGTCGGTCCTTGGGCCTTAGGGGTTGAGACTACGATGAGGGGTGGCCGGGCTACCTATGATGGGCAGAGTTATCTGAGATATCTTAATTTAGTACCACCCCCCCACCCCACCCCCGCTTCTTGGAGAATGTTGAATGGGCTCAGTAGTCCCACGTTCCGAAGTTCCCAAGAGTCTCAGGCCCAGAATGCCTGGTCCAGAAGTTCTAGAAACAAACCGTGAAAGAGAACAGTTTGGGTTCTTATCCTTTCTCCCCATACTCACCCTGCTGTTGCTCTTTCTGGTGCAGGGATGCTCAAACTTGCGGAAGCCATGAGTGCTCTGGAACTAGGTCCTTGGATGAAGTGAAGCCAATTTCCAGCCAACGTGACTGAGACCAGGATGTAGAGATTGGGTTGTGGGCAGAGCCGGGGTGGTTCTGGCTTGGCTTAAACTCTGCTCTAGCCTGAGGAATTAAAAAAAAAAAAAGCTGCTTTTGGGTCTCTGCCTTTGCCCTGAATCCTGATGTGAATATCTTTTTCCAGGGTTGCTAACTAAAGAAAAAATTTTTAAATAAGTAAACAGTCCATTGACATTGTGGTTGGTTGATTAGAAGTTAACACCTTAGATTTGTCTGAAGCACTGCTGAGGTGTGGCCCTTGAATTTAACCCTTAACTGAAACCCCCAGGGCTGAAAAGAGGTCCAAAAGCACTCTTGGCTAGAGTCAAAAGGGGTCTAGGAGCTAAGTGCTGAAATGGAAAGGGAAAGTGGAATTAGGGTAGAGGAAGACATTGCCATAAATGAGGCTTGTTCCTGGTATGGTTGAGGAACCACCAGAATGGGGACTACAGTTATCTCCAGTAGGGACTAGCTTAATTGTTAACAACCTAGAATGAATCCCACTTTCTGGGAGCTTTCTGCCCTGTGGACTTAGGCAAGTTATTTTACCCGCTCAGTGTCTCAATCTCTAAGGTAGTAATAGAATATGACCCCATATGAGGTTGTGAGGTTTACTGTTAATGTATGTAAGGGTACTTAGGCTTGGCGTCTTTTGTTTTTTGTTTTGAGGGGTGTGCAGCTGGCCAGTATAGGGATTGAACCCTGGACCTTGGTGTGAGCAGCAATATGCTTTAACCAGCTGAGCAACCTGGCCAGCCCTGAAGGGCACTTAGAACAGATATCACAGGTAGTAACAAATGTTGACTCTTTCTTGGAGAGATTGATCAGCAGTGGGAGAGATAAGTAATAATGAGCAGTTTTCTATAACTGCAAGAGACAAGTCTGGCATGTCCATCAAACAACTGCTGTCCCTTTACTATGCGCAAGTGAATGGCACCATCATTTTTGCCCAGTGGTTCAGGCCAAAAGTTAGGAGTCTTTTTTGTTTTGTTTTTTTGCTGGTTGGTGCAGGGAATCCAAACCCTTGACCTTGGTGTTAGCAACACTGTCCTCTAACCAAGTGAGCTCACTAGCCAGGCCAAAGAGCCATCTCTGATGCCTCTCTCCCAACATGAAGTCCATGAGCAAGTCCAGTCAACTTAACTTTAAAAAAACAACTCCAGAATTTGGGCCCTTCCTGTACCGAGTTTAGTCCCATCCTGTCCTCCCAGGACTGCTGACACTCCTAATGATGACTGGTTATCTCACAGTCTGTTCTTCAGCAGCCAGACTTAATTTTTAAAATATAAGTGATATGGCTCTTCCTCCAAAAGAGACCTCAAAACTCTCCACAGTTTTCCATCCAGCTTAACCCAAACTCCTTACCCTGGCCTGTAAGGCCCTGTGTAATCTGACCTCTGCCTAATAGGAACTCTCATCACTTCTTTCTCTCTAGCTTATCCTTTGCCCCCCCAGACTTCAGGGCTTTTTTTTTTTTTTTTTTTTTTTTTTTTTTTTTTTTTTGCCTAGAACACTTTCTCCTCAGATTTTCAAATGGTTTTGCTTTCTTCTCTCAGGTGGTCTGTACTCACCTCTAGGGAGGTCCTCTCCACAGTCTCCGCCTAACCTTAATTTTTCTTCATGGTTTCTACAAACCTGACCAATAGTGTTAGGATGCTCATTTTCTTCCTTTCCCCACTAGAACATAAACTCCAGCAAGGCAGGGATATTGATTTTTTTTTTTTTTTTATTAAGGGGCAATAGTATAGAGAGGTTAAGGATAGCGTCATAAGACACTGACACCAGCTGGACTGCCTGGGTTTGAACTTGGCTCAGCCACTTATTAGTTGGGAAACCATGAGCATGTTAGCCCTTGTGTTTCAGTTTTCTGTAATATGGGGATAATTATTTTATGGGGCTGCAGTGAGGAGTAAGTTAAGACTATGTCCTGAGACTCTGTAAAGTCTTAGAACAATGGGTGACACAATGGGCATTGAATAAATATTTCTTGAATGCATGAATAACGGCTGTTCTTGCTCTACTGCAGAACTGGAGCTAGACTCCTCCCCTCCTAGGTCTGAAGGAGGAAGGACTCAGGCCTCCAGCTCTGTCCTCTAAGGTTTTCATTGGAATCTCAAAGAAGGAAAGGCATGAAAGTCATTTGTAAAGGCATTGTTTTCCTACCCCATGAAAGGGGTGTGTATACAGTTTTCTGGGGTCATTAGATGCTATACAACCTGTGGGTCACTGAGAAGACAAAAGCACATTTCACATCCTGTTGAAGTTCATTTGGATTGGAGAGCAAGAGACCAATCATATATACCCTACTGGCATTTTGACTCCCCAGCCTTGAGAACTCTGGCCTGAAGGTCCTGGACCATTCAGCCTGACTCCTGCGCAGGATTTTGGAGGAAAAATCAGTCTCACCTTTCCCATATCCCCAGGAAATGACAATTGTTAAAAACAGTTGCATCCCTGATTTTGAAGAACTAGGCCCAGGTGAATGAATTTCCCTCTATTTCGAGTGTCAGGAGGGAAACTTGGCCCAGCTGTATGTGGTAAGAAGCCATAATTGCAGAAAACTTTGGTCTGCCTTGCAGAATTGTTCCTCCCAAATGGGAAAGTCTTATGGCCTGTCATGGGACAATCATTGGTTGCCAGGGCCAGAGGCAATACCAGAGTCCAAGACTCCACAGATTGGGGAGGGGCTTGTGTTGGGGTGAGGTGGGCTGTGGGGAGGGGCATCTCAGTTTCCAGGGAAGAGACTGCCTATGGACCCTAGTCACCTCAAGGTAGTCCCCTGTGGCTTTGGACACATTTTGAATGGCATGGCATTGGGCAGGATATATCTGGAGACTTGTCAACAGTTGCAATATAATGAAACAACAAGGAAGACAGAAAAGAAAGTGGAGAATATTGGTTGTTCCTACACTGGAATACAAAGCATTTTCTTTTTTTTTTTTTTTGTCTTTTGTCTTTTTCCATGTCCGGCAACGGATCGCAACCCTCAGTGTTGCCCCCGCACCGGACCGGGGACCGGCAACGGGACCGCAACCCTCGGTGCTGCTCCTGCATCTCGCTCAGCCAGTGAGCGGGAACCGGTCTGTATGTGGGATCCGAACCCTCGGGCGGGAGCGCCGCCGCGCTTCCCAAGCGGTGCACTCATCCAGTGCGCCACCGGGCCGGCCCTACAAAGCATTTTCTTAAATAGCACACACTTTAATATTTAAAGATACTTATATTTTAAACTGATACTACATTCACTTGGATCAAAATGCTAAAATGATAAAGTCTCTCTCCCGTCATATTCATGCATTTCCTACTCCCCAATAATAAGCTTTATTTTCTTGTGTGCCTTTCCAGTTTTTTTTTAAAAATGCAAATACAGGCAATTATATGTACGTGTGTGTGTGTGTGTGTGTGTATTTTTTTTTTTTTTTGTAGCTGGCTGGTACAGGGATCCGAGCCCATGACCCTGATGTTTTAAGGTGGTGTTGTAATCAGCTGAGCTAACTGGCAAGTCCCCAGTCAATTATAAATGTAGATTATTTTCCCTCCTTAAAGTCGGGTATAGTTCTATTTAGTTTTCTACAAAAGGACTTTGGGTGTTATTCCCTATCTTTTGCTTTTGCAAAGGTGCAGAGAATACATTGAACACCATTGTTTTGCAAGTTTGCATGTATGTCTGTAGGTTGAATTCCCAGAGGAAGAATTGCTGGTGCAAAGGGGATAAACATAATTTTGCTAGATACTATCAACCTGCCTTCCATAGGGGTTGAAACAATTTCTTTCCCAGCAGCAATATGAGATTGCCTCTTTCCCCATAGCCTCGCTCCAGTGGCAAACCTTTTTTGCTGATCTGACAAGTGAAGTCTCCCTGTCTTCAGTACTTATAGCTTGGGTAACAGTTGTGGCATTTCTTGAATTACCCTCAGCTAGTGCACCTGTGGGAGAATCAGTTGGCAATGAAGGATTGTGTATGGGAATGTAAATTGGATACTTTTTTTTCTTTAAATCAGGCAGCTGCCAGAACTAGAATAGGTTCAGAGCGACTCCCTACAGTGGATACTGTGAACCCCAATTCTGTTGTATGAATCAAGCTCATAAAAACTGCCCTTGCCCTTAAGTGCAGAATTCTGTCCTAAGGGCAGAGCTTCTAAATGTAGAAAACAATGTTAGGAGAATCTGTGTTAAGGTAGCAAAAGTGGAACATTTAAGACTAGTCTATAAAGTCCACGTATCTCCTGGACTAAAGGTTTTTCAACCCTAAAAGAAGAAAAAAGATGGTAGCAACAACAAAATAAGGAAATTTATAAGAAAAGTTTTGGAAGTAATAGTCTGAAAGTTACAAACAGTGTTTATCTTGAAGCAGTTTCCTTTTTTTGAGTTTCAAGCTATCGACCAGATTTCCACCAAGGGCAACTGCAATGATTATGGGAAACAGAACAAGCTTTCATTGTAGTGAAATGAGAGGGGTCCGCCCTAAGGAGAGTCAGTCAATAGGACTGAAGAGTTCAGGAGAAAAGATAAAAACAAGGGCATAGTCCAGTAAAGCCTTATAAAAAAGAGCTGATAAAAGCAAAATCCAATTCAGTGAAATCCTCTGACCCCAAAGTAGCTAATAATAATGACTGTAGCCAACACTGATTCAGAGTCTCCTGCCCTCTGGATCTCCTCCACCCGGTTCTTGCATTAACTCAGTTCTCAATTGTACATTACATACTGTACAATGGGAATGGGAATAGTATCATACCAATGTGCAGTTAAGGAAATCGAGGCCCTATCAATCACACCACCTGACCAGGATTCATATATTTAAATATATGTAGTTTTCTAGGGCCAGGAGAAACGTTTTACTCTTCAGGTGGGCTGATACAGCGACAGAGAAGCAGAAGAGTGAGTGGGTGTGAACGCTCCTGCCAGGCTCCGTGGGGTCACCTATGCCCACCTCACTCACTGTGGGCTCTGAAGCAGGTGCTTCCAGGCCTCTGGGGACTGAAGGTGCCTGCAGGATGGTCTGGAACAATTTTTCCAGCCTCCGTAGACAGGCGACCAGCCCTCCAGGAGCTTCCAGCCTGGTTGTAAGTCGTGTGGATCTA